AGGAATTATTCATGACAGGTTCTTTGGGGATTTATCTTTGTTTCTAGAAATTTATATCTGTAGAGAAAAACATCTTCATGTATTAGTTTCCCAGTAATATAATGGGTTCAAAGACATTCATAATCAGGTTTTATTCCTTTATGCATTTAAAGACAAGAGCTGTAACTCTTAAGAGTTTTTCCAAAGCATGAATTTTTAGATCCCATCATGACTTTCTGTTGTGTCTGCAGTATTTACAAACTTATTTCTGTTGTGTTCAAGAAGACTGTTTCTTTGCAAATGTGAAGGTTTTGCTGAGGCCAGTTATTTTCATTAGGAGCAGTTCGGTTTCCGTGGGGAGCCATAATTTATTATCCACAATTTCTTGTGTGGACACAATGAAATGTCAGTTGGATTCTCTTGGGTAGAGGACGTGGAGAAAGAGATAATCTCTCTCATCTCTTTAATTTCTGCTACTCTGTCTGGTAATAGACCAACTTACTCTTTATTATTTTCTTAACCATGGAGAAACTGCTTCATTAGTACTCCATTTCACCCCACCCCCCTAGTCATGGTTTTTTCAATAGATGAGATGATCAAGTTCTTTGTGAGATAGACAGTCTAATTTGTTTGTACCTTACATAGACGTGCTGTCAGTTCCCAATTGTGGTAATGTTTCTTGGACCATCAAGGGTGCTCCTGGCCTTTGAAGTAATTAGTGTATTCCTTCATTATTATTCATGTAAGCTACAGCGCCATAACCTCTGGTTGGACGCATCACAGAAAACACTGTAATGTGTAATTGTTTCCTCTCTTGACTGTTTTGTCTGGGAAATTTAATTTGATGAAGTTGCTTAAACTCCACTGGATATTTCATCCATGCTTGACTCATTTCTAGTGGCAGTTCTATTTCCCATCCATTTTGAGACTTCAATGCATCTTGCATAGACAATTTTAACCTTTTATGCGTAATTGTGTGAGACGTGTCCTAGAGGATCCAAACATTGTGATACCTCTGACAGTAAACTACGTTTAGTGAGTGTTATGCATGATTTATCTATTTATTTTTTGTGACTCAAAGTATCATCCTGTAGTGTCCAATTTAGTCCCAGATATTGTTGCAATTCAGGAATTTCCGCTTCAGGGAATCTCTTTGATAAGTTCCCTTATTGCTTTGAATTTGTATTCCACATCCTTAGAGGCATATTTGCTTCTTTCATCTCCTTGTTAGCTTCTCTGAATAAGGATTTCATATCCTCCTCTTTATTCACAGTACCTTGAAGATGTCCACAAAGAAACTTTTTTAAGATTTCTTTGAAGGGACTTTCAGATTTCTTCAAATGTGTATTTAGAGTAGCTTCAAGTAAGAATGGAGAGGATGTTGCACCAAAACAATTACTGATTGAAACTATAAGTTGTACAGGACTTTGAGGGGGTTCATGTTGATTTTCAGGCCACAAAAATCAAGTATTAATCCCGATCTATTTCTTGTAGTCCTACTCTTAAGAAAGCTTTGGAAATATCAGCCATGTAGGCATATAGGTTTGTGCGAAATTTCATAAGTGTATTAAAATACACTTTGCAACATTGGAGTCTTGCACGGAGCGGCGGTCGCTTGACCCACAGTGGCATATGGACTTGCATCTGGGATCAGATTACTCGCTGTGCAGTAACAAGGACGCTTGCACACTTCTTGAGAGGGCTGGGCCCCTCAGGGCTGAAAGGGGCTGATACCCCCTTCCTGGAGAAATTTTCTTCACAAATCTTTCCATTGAGCTCTGTACCTCGCATTCCTTTAAGATTTTCCTAAAATAGTTCACAACATTGTCATTGTAAAAGTCACCAGCATGGCTTGCAATAGCTATGTCAGAGTGATTTTCATCCATAAAGGTTTGCAAGTCAACCCACTTTGTACAAATTTCCTTAATCTTTGAAGAAGGCAACTTCCTCCATTGCTCTTTTCCCTCCTCTGAAGCAATTTCCTCAGTTGTGTCCTCTTGCTGTTGCAGATGCTCTTGCAGCTCATCAGTGGTTAGTTCTTCATCGTCGTCCTCCACCAACTCTTCCACATCCTCCCCACTAACCTCCAACCCCATGGACTTCCCCAATGCCACAATAGATTCCACAACTGGCATAGGCTTCTCAGGGTTAGCACCAAACCCTTCAAAATCCCTCTCTTCTACACATTGTGGCCACAATTTCCTCCAAGCAGAGTTCAAGGTTCTGTTAGTAACTCCCTTCCAAGCCTTACCTATAAGGTAATTGCTACACTCTTAAGAGTATAGCAATTAAGTGAAAGAAAAAGGACGAAATGAAATGAACTCCTGACAGCATACACCACTCTGCCTATCTTTTCCACCATCAACCTTCACCAGCATTTTTTCTCCAAGGTACATACACTGGTTTAGTTCTACTTGATGTTTTCCTTATGAAAGTAGTGATCTAATGCAGTTAGCCTCACAAACTCTGTTTTCTCTTATAACAACACCTCTGAAGGGGAGACATTTTCATAGCTGGAGCGAGAATGCCCACGACCACTCTCCTCCGCCGCCATCCACTAGCCACATACGTAATGACATATTTTATTCATTCTAGAGTGTATATCAGTTTCTATGTTATTTATATTGTTTATGTCATATGTGATGAACTGTGATAGATATGTAAGCCATAGAGTTGATATTAGCATTATTCTGTCATGCCTCCTGAGAGCAGGAATTCCGCTGGAACAGATTAATGTTATTTCAATTTAAATGAGGAAAATTGACTCGGCATACAAACAAATCAGGATACAAACAAGGTAACGGAACGGATTAAATTCGCAAGCCGAGGTTCTACTGTATTCAGTTAGAGATATAAAAAAAGGGACTAAGAAAAGCAAAAAGAGATTATGAGGTTAAAGCTGCAAGAAAATCGAAGACTAACCCAAAAGGATTCTTTGAGGTATACAGAAATAAGATTAGGGACAAGATAGGCCCACTCAAAAGTTACTCGGGTCAGCTCACAGACAGTGATAAGGAAATGTGTAGAGTTTTTAACACTTCCTCTCAGTTTTTACACAGGAAGATACTAGCAATATTCCAGAAATAATAAATTATGTAGAACAGGAAGATAAACTATGCACGATTAGGGTTACAAGTGACATGGTCTTTAAAGAAATAGATAAATTAAAATCTAGCAAATCCCCAGGCCTTGATGAACTGTATGCAAGGGTTCTAAAGATATGTGAAGAGGAGCTTAGCAAACCTTTGGCTAATCTTTTCAACATATCACTACAAACTGGCATAGTGCCAGGTAAGTGGAAAATGGCAAATGTGATACCTATTTTCAAAGCAGGTGGCAGGTCCTTAGCTTCGAACTATAGACCAATAAGCCTAACCTCCAGAGTGGGAAAATTTATGGAATCAATAACTGCTGAGGCAATTCGTAGCCATCTTGAAAAGCATAAATTGATAAACGAATCTCAACATGGTTTTACAAAAGCGCGTTCCTGCCTTACGAATTTATTAACTTTTTTCACTAGTGTATTTGAGGAGGTAGATCAGGGTAATGAATATGATATTGTGTATATGGACTTCAGTAAGGCTTTTGATAGAGTTCCATATCAGAGGTTACTGAGGAAAATTAAGGCACACAGAATAGGAGGAGAAATTTTTTCCTGGATAGAGGCATGGTTGACAGATAGGCAACAGAGAGTTTGCATAAATGGGGAGAAATCAGAGTGGGGAAGCGTTACAAGGAGTGTTCCACAGGGGTCATTGTTGGGCTCCTAGATGAGGGAATAAATAGCGATATAAGCAAGCTTGCCAATGACACCAAAATAGGCCAACGAATTCATTCTGACAAGGACATTAGAGCACTCCAGGAAGATTTAAATAGACTGATGTGGTGGTCGGAGAAGTGGCAGATGCAGTTTAATATAGACAAATGCATAGTTCTAGACACTGGACAGGAAAATAACCATGCCACATATAAACTAAATAATGTAGATCTTAATATTACTGTTTGTGGAAAGGATTTGGGAGTTCTGGTTAGCAGTAATCTAAAACCAAGACAATAGTGCATAAGTGTTCACAATAAAGCGAACAGAATCCTTGGCTTCATATCAAGAAGCATAAATAATACAAGTCATCAGGTTGTTCTTCAACTCTATATATCCTTGGTTAGGCCTCATTTAGATTATGCTGCACAGTTTTGGTCACCGTATTACAGAATTGACATAAATGCTTTGGAAAACGTACAATGGAGGATGACAAAGTTGATCCCATGTAGTATCAGAAATCTTTCCTATGAGGAGAGACTGAGGGCCCTGAATCTGCACTCTCTAGAAAGGCATAGAATTAGGGGGGATATGATTGAGGTGTATAAATGGAAAACAGGAATAAATAAAGGGGATGTAAATAGTGTGCTAAAAATATCTAGCCAGTGGTTTTAAGTTGGAAAAATTCCGATTCATTATGGATATAGGAAAGCACTGGTTTGGTATTGAGTTGTGGATGAGTGGAACAAACTCCCAAGTACCGTCATACAAGCTAAAACGTGAAGTTTTAAAAATAGGTTAGATAAATACATGAGTAGGTGTGAGTTGGACCTGACTAGGTCAGATGCAGTGTTCCTTCCTTCCTTAAGTGAATGTGACCTAACCTGACTAGGTTGGGGCATTGGCTTGGGCCGGTGGGGGATTTGAACCTGCCTCACACGAGCCAGTAGGCCTGCTGCAGCGTTCCTTCTTTCTTAAGTTCCTATCCCCTCTCCCCCACAGGCGCTGTATACTCCTACGGGTTTAGAACTCCCCCCATGATTTTAATTATAATCCACTCGTGAGGGCATGAAAGGAAATGTTTTGTCCAACATGCCTAAAGAGCACTTTGTTAATGCTATGGTCAGAGAGGTAATCTGTAGGTGTCATTCGCTGAAGAGAATAGACTTTTGTCAATGAGTGCCCTTGAAATGCAGATTGGAGGGGAAATTTTTTTTGAGTAGCTCATTTCTAAGAATAGGAGGAAGGAGTGTTATTATCAGTGTCAGTATTGTCTGTTACAGATTGAGGTTGCTGGGACAGGGGTCTCAGGCCAATCTGTTCTGTGAAGTGTGATTGATCCAGATATCAGCACACTATTGGAGAAAGTCAGAATCATGGTTAGAGATATCAAAAGGATCAGCCAGAACTCTGGCATTGGAATCAGGCAATGAGGTGTTGCCTGAAGGCAGTACTGGGTTGGTGGAACGGTTCACCGGTGTGCCGGGGTCACTTTAAAGAAAGAAGGGGTCCCTGGAGGAGGAGGCAAATCACAAAAATTATTGTCCATTATGGTTTTTTTTTTACTGAGAGAAAAAAAAGTGGGGGGAAGGGAAGGGCAGGGGTAAAGAGGGCCAGCTCAGAAGAAACAGAGACTGTATATCACCCTCCATGGTTGGTAAGACACATAGGCAACTTTATTCTGAAATGTTTCGCCTACACAGTAGGCTTCTTCAGTCAAATACAGAATGTAGGCAGGAACAATAAAGATGTGAAGACGATGTAATCAGTCCATCACCCTTGAAGTCGTAGATTTGAGGTTGTCACTCCCTCAGCCTGGAGAAGTTCAGGGACTGACAACCTCAAATCTACGACTTCAAGGGTAATGGACTGATTATATCGTCTTCACATCTTTACTGTTCCTGCCTACTTTCCGTATTCGAGTGAAGAAGCCTACTGTGTAGGCGAAATGTTTCAGAATAAAGTTGCCTAACTGTTGCCTGTGTGTCTTACCAACCATCCTGTCGGTATTGTATACCATTTTGATATTCATCACCCTCCATGTCCAAAAGTTCCCTTGGTGTTACCGGTAGTGCTGGTACTGCACAGAGCTTACTCTCTATCCTACCCTTCATTCCAGTAAACCAGCAATCCAGGATGACAACCTCACAATCACCGAGCCACCTTGGATATAAAAGAGAAGGGCGACGAGAAACCCACTGAGAGGCACACTTCCTCTGGCCGCAACCTCCTGGATTGACAGTCTCCAAAGTTACACCCATCACCTAAAGGACACATGAAGCTGCCCTCTGGAGTTCCAGAGGGTAGCTTGGCACATCCCTAAATGATCTAGATTCCATACAAACACCACCACCAAGGTTATCAAAGGAAGCTGTAATTTACAAGGGAAATATCCCCATAGGCTTAATGTGTAGGAGAGGGGAGGGGGAAATTAAATTCAGTCTGAGGAAGGAGGAAAAAGTCTAACTCCTCATATCAAGAGCCTCTTCACTATGCCAAGAAACCCTCTTGAGGATAAAACTTACAGATTCTACCATTGAGCTTAAAGTTTAAAATTAACAATATCACAAAAGGGTTAAAAATTCAAGATGTGGTGCCCAATAAAACATCATGATAAATACAAAAAAACTTTTTTTATGTAAAAAAAAAATTAAATTATAAAATTTCATTGTACATTTATATTTAAACTTTTCTTTTTTTACAAAAAATGGGGCCCCCCCAAGGGAAAAGGTTTCCCTTTTGATGTTGGGAGGGGGCTTTTTGATTTGGGGAAATTTTGGTTTCTGTGCTCCATTTTCCCCCAAATTTAACCCAAAAATCCCTTCCACACCCCCCCCCCCGGGGCGCTGTAAATCCTGGGGGTTTAGCGCTTCCCCCTTATTATAATAATAAAAAATTAAAAAAAATTTTTAGGTGATATTAAAAAGCAAGTTTTCTAATTATTTTTTTTCAGAAATATAATAATGTTTTGTCAAAAATACAGTATGCATAAATATCCAGTTTTTAAAAAAGCCCTTTTGAAATTTTTAAAAATGTAAAAACTGCCTCTATTATTAGTACATTCAAACTCAAAAACATAAGAAAAAAGGAATGCTGGATGACAGCAAGGCCCCTTGCAAGGCGGGCCCAGTTCCCACCCCCCCAAAAACCCCTCATGCCCTCCCAACCTATATTGAAAGCTACCTGAAAGCATAATAATATTATATAAAAAAAACATTGTCCCTTCCCCCACAAAAAAATTTCATAGTATTTTTGATGTCTTTTTTTTTTAAAAAGGGTTAAATTTATTTTATGCCCTCAAGGGGGTTCCTTGATGCGGGTGGGGGGTTTTCTTGATCGGGGGAACGGGGTCGTGCTGGGTTTCCCCTTTGGAAATGAGTCTAAATATTTTCCCATTCCCCCTCCCCCACATTTTTGCTGTATAATCCTAGGGTTTTAGTGTTTCCCCGTTGGAGGGGTAAAGCGGGTTTAATATTTGGTGAAGGGATTAAAGGGGAAAACCGATTTTTTTAAATATACCCGGACCGAGTCCTGGAAAGGGGAAAGTAAAATGCCTGCCTCTAAAGGAGGGGTTTGGAATTTTTGGTGTTTGGAGTGAATACCCTTGTGGCTTAGCGCTTCTTTTTTGATATAATAATAATGGAAATTTTTGGAGGGATAAAATTGTGTATTTTTTTAATGAAATATATTTTCTAAATTTTGTATTCTGAAAAAAAACATGATTATGTGTGATGAGGTGAAAGTGTTGAATGATAAAGGGAAAGTTTTTTTCTTTTTGGGTTTCACCCTCCTCAGTGGGAAAGGGCCGATTTTTTAAAAAAAAAAAAAAAATTTTATTATAATCAGAAAGAAAAAGGGAAAGTGCTAATTAATAATAATAATTATTTTAAGTTCACCATGCAAAAATTTGGGGAATAATTGAAAATGGAAACCCAATATAAGGAAAAGGTTTAACTATAGTATTAGGGGATAGCACCTTTAAACCATAACACTGGAAAAGAAAAAAATTCTCACTGCTTATAAAGGGAAAAAAAGTTTAAACAATAACTAAAACAACTGAATAAAAAAACTTAAAAAGGAAATGGGATCAAAAAGGAAACAAATCACTTTCCACAGGTCCTCAAATCTGAGGTAACCCTTTTGCCTCTGACAAAAGTAAAAAAGATTTGCCCACATCCCCCTCCGACTTTCCAATCATTTCTTTGAAAAACAACCAATGCACAAACAAAATTCTCAAAATCATATACCTTTTTTTGGGAGAGTATTCCCCAATGAGTAAAAAAATAAAACCCTCAATCTACCAGGGAAAGACAGAAATTATTTGAAGCATGAATATTTTTTTTTTTTTTATAAAACCGGCCATAACCCACCAAGGCGGGGGAAAACCCAAAAAGAAAAACAAAGTTTCTTTTTTTAAAAATTTAAAAGGTATACGGAAAAGGGGGGTTACTAGCCCCTTGCTCCCCCCCATTTTATTTGCCTTTTTCGGACATGCATGGTTTTTGGGGAGGAAGAATTTTTTTCACTTCCCCATGGAGTTTGAGGTTTTTAAAAAAAAACCCTGGGAAAAAAAATAGAAGAAAAATCCAGAGGGGGTGTATATAATGTTGACTTGTATGTGTAGTGTGACCAAAAGTGTAAGTAAGAAGTAGAAAGATGTACCTAAAACCCCTTGCTTGTTTTTGGGGACAGAAAAAAAAAACCCCACGCAATCCTCCCATCATGTAAAAAAAATTACAGGTTTCCATTTACACCTTTACCTCATTTGGGAAAAGGACGGTATGAAATTTTCCCGGGCCCGGTTGCTGTTTTCCCAAACCCCTTCGCCTAGGAAATATTTATGGTAAAAAAAAAAAACTATCCCATCATGCTGCCCATATTATTTTCACAAAAGTGTTCAAATCAAGTGAAATTTTCAAGTTGCACAGAATCAAAAAAAATAATAATAAAAGGACAAAAGCTAGAAAATTTAAAACTTTTGAGAAAATAAAATTTTAAAAAAATTACTCTGTAACATTTTTTGATAAGATGATCAATGAATATTAACAAAATTTAAATATGGTTTACAAATAAAAATTAAAAATGGGGTTATGAAGGGGGGGGAAACTCCCAGAACTGAGGGAAGGGAAAAAAAAAGGTGGGTGGTGCATTGGGGTTATCTGTGGGGGAAAAAAAACCTTTTTCTATGGAGGAAAAGGGGGGGAAATGTATGAAATTTAAGGGGTATTTTTGTGAGGGTGAAGCAATGGAGATGGTGTGTCAAAGGGGCAATGTGGGGTGAAAAATATTATGCAGAAAAATTCGTGGGGGGGGGAAATTAGGGGGTGGGGGTTTCAAAAAAGTATTCTGGGGACTGAGGGGGGGGTTGTAAAGGTGGTTTGGTCTTTTTAGAGAGAGAAGGAGCAAAAAAAAATGACTTGGAGGGTGTAAAATCTGTATTTGAAAAGGAGGAGGGGTAGTGGTCATCCTGGGAAAGGTTGGAGGGAGGGGGTAAAAAGGGTTTTTTGTGTGCAAGGGTTTTGGAACATACAGCGGCTGGGGGAGCATGTTAGATAGGGGGTGAATGGAGAGGGGGAACTTTTTTTGGGGACTTGATGAGTGTTTTGGGGTGTGAGCAGGTTTTTATTTTGTGAAGGGGTTCAGGGAAACCCCGTTAGGCAAATTTTTGAGTCCTGGGGTTGGGGAAAAATACAATGCCTTCACTTTAGGAGAGGTTTGGGTTTTGGTTTAGTGTGGGTATCTGGGTAAAGGTTTGGGGCAAACCCCCCCCTCGGTGGGAGATGGCCACTTGTTAAAAAAATAGAAAAAATTATATAAACACCTGGTTTTTTACCCTTTTGGGTTTTGTGCTTAGTTTTGATTGTAATAATATATAAAATGCCCATTATAAAAAAAAAAATATGGGTTCCCATTCAAGATGATTTAGAAAAAAAACATTTAAAATCCTATTCCTCAAAAAATTCAACTGTTTCAAAAACTGCCTGGCAAATTTAAAAAAATTTTTGCAAACAACAATAAAACTTTCATGCAAGAGTTTTTTTATTACTATTTTTTAAACTATCAAAAACAATCAGTTTAAAAGAAAAATTTTTTAAAAAAAAAAAACCCTTCAGCATTCTAGGCATAATTTTTTTACAAAAACTGATGCACTTTAATACACCTTTTCACCAAAAAATAAGAAAAAAAGGAATGGGAAAAACCTTCCCTTCATTTATTTGGGAGGAAACATCCACAAAAAAAATTATAGATTTGCCCCAAAAATTTTTTAAAAATTGTGGGGCCACTAAATGGCATCACAAAACCAATCTAAATGAATTTTTCTTTTCTTTAAAAAATAAGTACAGGTTATACTAACACATTTAGACAAATTTAGGAAAAAATGGGAAAGGGGACTTCAAACTTTAAATTTTGCACGAATTTCTTTTCAAAATCCCCGTAAAGGGGACGGCCCAAGTTTAGGGGGATGGTTTTCATGCGAACCTGAAATAAAAAAATAAAAAAGAAATAAAGCTACGGGTTTTGGGGAAAGGGATTTTGGGATTTTAAATTTGGGGGGGAATCCAAAAAACAAAATGGGAGTTGAACCGAGACAATTTTTTCGATGAAATTTTATGCTTTTTTGGAAAAAAATTTTAAAATAAGTTGTAAAGGTTAGTGGATGAGTTTTTTTAGCGCTTTTCCCCCTTTATTATAATAAAAATAATAATTAAAAGTGGATGAGTTTTGGGGGGTGTGTAAAGGAAAAAAGTTGAAAATTAAAAACAAGATTAAAAATAAGGTGATGGGGGGTATCAAACCGGGGGTTTCATAAAGAAAAAACGGATATTAGATTGGGGGGAGGGGCAGGGGAAAAAGTAAATTGTTCATACATCTGGGAGTAGATGTGTCAGCAGATTTTTAAAGAAGGGCCTAGATTTAAAACAAGGAAAATTTAATTTAAAGAAAAAAGGGGGGGTGGGCAAAGAGGTATCTTTTTGGGGACACAGAAAAGTTGGCCATGGAGGCAAAATAGGAGTATATGGAGTATAGTGATACCAACAATTCTTATAAAGGGTCTGTTTCAAGGGATTTCAAATGTTGCAGCAAGGAGGAGGCTGGAGGGAAAGGGGGATTTTCATGTCTAAGGGGAAAGTTGGGTTTTTAAAAAAATTATTCAGGGGCTGAGGAGGGGTTTTTTGAGGTTGGTCTGGTCATTTAGAGAGGATGGTGCCCAAAAAAGGAGGGGGAAAGGAACATAGGGGTAATCCTAGGAAGGGATTTGGGGAGAGGAGGTAAAAAAGGGTTTTTGTATGCAAGGGGGGGGGCTTGAACATACGCGGCATGTGTGACCCCGTTAGATAAAAGGGAGAAGAATGATTTTTGGGTCTTTAAAGAGCTGTGGGAAAAATGTGAGCAGAGTAATATTTTGTGAAGGGAAATTTAAAGGGAAAACCAGTTAGCTAGAAGGATCCTGGAGGTGGGGGGTTTCAAGCCTGAAATTTAAAAAGAGGGGGCTGGGTTAATTTTCTGTTAAGGGGGAAATTCTAAACCTTTGTACTGCGTGCCCCCCTGCAAAGACGATGATAGTTTTGAAAAATGGGGAAAAGGTTTCTTTTTTTTTGGGGCACCCCTTTCCTTGGTGGGAGAAAGCCCGTTGAATAAAAAAAAAAATTACATTTAAGGGGCCTTTTCCTTAAAAAAAAATAAATATTTTTTAAATTTCCAATTATTAAATTTTAAAAATAAAATATTAAATTTTTAGATTTAAACCCCGGTTGTCGGGGCGAAAAAAGTTTTTCGAACAAAAATGGATTTCGAAAACCCAATTTTTTTAAATTTTGGTTTTTGTATGGGGTTTTTGGTTTTTCAGCCCAAAAATGCCAGATCAGGTGATCACCCCGGGCAGAGTCACAGGTGGGTCCCCAGCGGAAAAGTGGGCAAAAGCACGTGTTAAAAACCTCTCTTAAGCTTTTTTGTGCATCTTTTTGAAAGGAAAAAAAAAACCCAAAAATACAAAAAAATTTTATGGGAAACTTTCAGGGAAATTTTGCTATCCAAAGTTAGCGGTCTCCCGGTATATTTAGGGATTTAGCGACTTTGGCCCCCTTTAGCCCTAATTCCTTAATACCGTTTAAACCCAAAATTAAGCTACTTTTAAAATAGAACTCCTTTTTTTTTATTCCCAAATTGGGCAATAAAAACTG